CAGGAAGTTTGGCTGATGTAAACACTGGTTCAGTATCCACTGACAAAATTGAACTCGTGGTACGAAGTAAGCTGGACCTACATCATGTACTCGCGTTGGATGATACAGATAAAGTTGTTGGCCGTGCAGGATCCTCCAAACACTGATGTCCCCAAAATCTAGACAATGGCACGAGTTTTGGTGGATGGCTGTTCCTCTATGCAATGCAGTTCGACATTGAGGCGCAAAGTTTAAACGAAATGATTTAAAATGCCGCCCTAGCGCTATTATTTTACGTTTGCGGACATGGGTTCTTATTTCAAAGTTATTCTATAGGGAACCCTCAGTACGCTCCTGAAGTATGGCACCAAACTCTTGGGACATCATGTATATATATAAAATTATACGGATTTTTTCCTGAAAACGTTAACGCTAAGTGAGTTAAAAGTGTAAACAGAAAACAAATCAGACTACAACCGAATGTACAATATGCAATTTATAAAACATATGAGTAATTTATGGAAATATAGCCTTATATTGTAGCACTAGCAGTTTTTATGGTTACGAATTTTTAGTTTTGCGATATCTTACTATAGTGTTAAGTTTTGATTTAACGGTTTTCAACAATTTTAACGATGAAAGACTGAATATTATGCCTCATCTAACCATGGTTTTCAAAACAGATCATGTGAGGCAAAAAAGAAAACATGGATGTCATGCCTCCAAAGAAGCAGAACTGCGCTCGATATATTTGTTTAGAGTTACATTCACAAAGATGAGGATANGTACTCGCGTTGGATGATACGGATAAAGTTGTTGGCCGTGCAGGATCCTCCAAACACTGATGTCCCCAAAATCTAGACAATGGCACGAGTTTTGGTGGATGGCTGTTCCTCTATGCTTGAACCGTGCAGTTTCCACAATGGCTACTCCAGGATAAAAATGTTGTTGAGTTCAGGAGTTGCGCACTTGAGACAAGGATGATTGTGAGCTTAGAAGCAGCACGTGGCGTTCACGAGAGGAGAAACAATGTGTATAGTGAGACTGTAAAATTGCTCAGTGCTGGCAGCAATAAGCCAAGACGCAAGGCGAGAACAGTGCAGTAATGTAGAAACAGGGGGAGAGGAAAGCTCCTGTGGCTACCGACAATCAGATATTAACTGCTTCAAACATGTTGTTACAATAGTACGTCATTCAACAATGCTGTATCACATAATAATGTCACTCTGCACTGAACAGATGAGAAAAACTTGGACAGGAAGACAGGAAGAATCACGAAGATCAGACCCCACGATGTGTGAAACTTAAACAGTTTAGGCCCAGTGCACTGCTGACACTAAAAGTGTTAGAGGAAAGAAATCAGTTGTGGTTGCTGTTCAGCATTGTCATGAAGTTACAGTACCATAACGATTACAAGAATACTGTCTTCTGGAATGTGGTAATACACAGGTTGACAGATATGTGCCAATGATCGAGACAAACACGCTTCCAGCAACATCTGATCTTAAGATGAAGATAACAAGTTCCTCCAAAATGTCAGCACCGATCTACAAAAATCCATGATGTCACATCATAATGTTAATATCTGCCGTCTTAACAACCACAAGTTTCACATGCAACTCTACTTTTACAATTAAGGGAAATCATAAATCTAATTCCGAATGCAAATTTGCTCTCAGCAACAGATGAGAACATTAGTTCTCTGCCTGATGTCAAATTTATATCAGCACTTGCTGAATTATAGTGATATGGGCCTATTAGCTGCTGCAGGTGCATATTTAGACAGTTCTTCAATTCTAGTTTCATTATGAAACTCAACTGGTTTGTGAGAGAGCTTCTTAATCTGATTTTATGCATTTCATAGATAAAAACAGTAATACGAAATAATGAAAATGAAATACAATATTTTTAGTCTTCTTTCCTAATTTGGAAAAAATACAAAATAAAATAAAATAAAATAAGCCTTATGAGAACACCTTGATGTCTGTGTCCCCCCACCCCCCTGCAAATTCCTGAACTGCTGCTGGGGCTTGCCATCACACTTATTCTTGGTTGCGAGTCCTGAGGGACTTATGACCACATTATACTGCCTCACAACTATGGGTGCCATGTATTCAACTGAATTCCTGGAATGCATGAACTATTTTAAGATCAAATACTTTCAGATACCCATACAGATGAAGCTTTTAATCACTGGCACCTGTCAAATTTGAGCTGGTGCCAAACTTGAACCTCAGGAATGGAAAAAGCTTCTCAGAACTACTGAGATGCTTCAGATCAGAGAAGAAACCCAGAAAAATGACCAACATATGTTAAAAGGGAAGACAGCTCTCTTTCTCCAGATACTTTTCAGTATCCAACGTAAAGTAACAGCTAAAATACATCATATACAAAAATGATAGTGACTTGAACTACTTAATCATCAAGTGGCTTCAGATGTTCATATACAGTATGCGCCAAAATGTGCAGTACTAAAACTCACGCATCTTGAATGCACATGTGCATTTGTCGACGGGGCATAGCTCCAGTATCACGTGTTTTCAGTAGTGAAAAGGAAGTTGTGTTGTGCGGTTGTTGTTGGAAACGGGTCTCTCGACGAAGGAAAAAGTATTCATAGCTGAGTATTATTTCTGCTCATATGGAAGTGGTCGTGAAGGGGGACCGAGTTTGAAAAAGGTGACAGAACAATTCCAAGAGAGATTTAATAAGATGACACCAAGTAACACAGTCATGCTGTCTACTGTTAAGAAATTTTGCCATTCTGGTAGTCTACTGTGTCAATGGAAGAGGAAGTCTGGTCGACCAGTACCTGTTTCGACAAAAGAGAATCACGCATGTGTTCTTCAGCAGGTGCTGTATTCGCCCCGATGAAGTCTACGATGAATGGCCTTGAAACTGAACATCAGCGATGTGTCTGTTTGCTGACTGTTTAAGGACATAGGTGGATTTCTGTACCGGATACAGGATGGACAACGCTTGACAGAGTCAGATATGCGAGCCAGGATGGTGTATTGTGGAACATTTTTGGCCATGGTGTACGAGGATCCAGATTTCTTGAGGAATTTGTGGTTCTCTGACGAAAGTCACATTCACTTGGATGGCTACATCAATCATCAGACAACTCGCTTCCTTGGTTCTGAGCGACCAGATGTTATCGTCCGGAAACTGCTACACAGTACATGTGTGACGACATGGTGTGCCGTCTCAGTCACAGTATATTAGGCCCTTATTTCATTGAGGATGAGGAAGGCAATGCTCTTACCATTACCCAAGAATGCTACAGGGACATGGTGATCGGACCATTTCTTCAGGATTTGAGAAGGTTCTGTCGTGCAAGGGGCCTTCGCATGAATAGACAGTGGTATCAACAGGACGGGGCGACCAGCCATACCACTCAAGAATCTCTAGCCATGCTGCAAGAAAACTTTCCAGGACAAATCATTTTACGTGGTACTGACTTCCCATTCCCATCCCATTCCCCCAATCTTATACCACCTGATGCCTACTTGTGGGGAATGTTAAAGGAGAGTGTGTTCCCCTCTGAAGATCTGCCAAGAACTGTGCCTGCATTATGCAAGCAAACTGTCTCCTTTTGCAGGAGTCTGCAGCAACCTTTGTTCCAGGGTATGATTGAGAATCTGCATGAACGATATGAACACGGTCTACAGCGAGACGGTGCACATTTTGAAAACTTACATTATGCATACCGTGGTAAATCAAACGCTAATAGTGGGTATGTTAGTTTCTTTCAGGAGAAATAAACTCACAGATGACAACAAGGTAATATTCATTTCAGTAGCGTGCATTTTGGCGCATACTGTACATGGAACTTGCCATCATTGGTGCCAGCCAAATTTTGAGTTGGCATAAATTTGGCCCCCATGAGTGGAAATAGCTTCTCAGAACTGGTTAGATGCTCTAGATCGGTTAAGAAACTCGGCAAAATTCTAACTTATATTAAAAAGAAATTATGACAACATAGACCATTGAGTTTGTTCCCACAATTAATGTGGGAATGATAATTATGACATCTGAAGGCAATGTAAATGGCTTCCTTGAAAGTGAAGTGCTCTGGAACTACACCCATGGTGTCTATCCATGTCTACCCCATTTCTAGCCCTGCTGGCACAAGTGCTATTGCTATGCCATTGTTGCTCAAGGCATAACATATTTTCATTGTCTTCCCTTTTTCATATTATTGCAGTTACCATGCAAACACGAGGATAGTTTCACTCCATACATTTAAGAAGATGTCAATTGTTTTCTTTCATATTGTGCAAGGGCCATGATACAAGGCTCCTATGCCTGTACTTAAAATTAAAATATTTACTGTGATAAGATAAAACAGTAAAACAAATAACAACTTACGGGAAAAGGTGAAGTTGTCCCTGTGCTTGATTAAAAACTGTGGCATGAAGACAGGTATGGGGGAGTAGAGGTATAGCTCCATGGATTCTAAACCTCGGCACTAGATGGAGACATATAATATTGTAAGTAACTCCACTAAGATATGTGAAATGCTAACAGTTAAGGGCTCTGAATTGCTAATTCCAAAACTTTAACAGTAAAACATCACTGTTTTAAATGTCAATAATTTCATGCTCTAACATATCAGCAATTCAAGAAATACCAGGTCATCTCTTTCACTGACACACTGACAAGAAAGACCATTACCCTTATTCTGGTTTGGTACTCCTAAGTCTATAAAAATGAAAAGCATATCAACTCCATGATGAATCCTGCACTCTTGACAATACCATGATTACAACCAGGATCTCTTAGCTGGTCAAATAATCCCAGCTTTCACAGAACCAGTACATTCACCACAATGTAAGATCTGAGCTTCTCATGACAGTGGGCACCAAGATTTTGCTCTTCTTGGGTATAACATCCACTTTGGTAAATGGGTAACAATATTTCAGAGGAGCCTCTTGCCTTCATCTTCATTCTTCTACCTTGAGGATGGTGGCAATAGGTTCTTATATCTCATCTATCAAACTACATGAAATCACATTCCAAAAGACAGTAATCATGACTGTTACAATATTTTCAGCCACCTGAATCAAATTTAATTATATTATTACAGACATTACTACAGAAGTTTTAGTTATGTGATTCTATGGCAAGAACAGAGACATTAAGTATAAATAGGAGGTATTACATGATGTTACTGTACATGATAAAAAAACAATGTAGGTACCTCATATGTTTACCTGATGAAGATGTCTTAACATTTCAGTGTAAGGCTGAACAGTTACGTCACATACTAGCATCTCCCAAATTTTCAATTAAAGGTTTAAATTTGGGGTACATTTACAAGATGAGATGGAGTAACATTTTTTTAATCTAAAATTCATTAAAATCCTGCAGAATCCTTGTATACTGTATACTCACAACTAAAGCCTTTTATGAAAAATCACAGAACAACATTAATGCTAGTAAAACCCACACAGGTGCCTGTTTGGTGCGACACATGGATCTGGTATGTTTTACATGAGCTGCTGCAAATGGTGAATAGTGTCAAGTTCCTCATACTGACATTGCAGTCATGGTAACTGTGGTCATGTTATCTCACTACACATTACTTTATTATAATCTGTATCTTACTTATATAAACGATCATGAGTTTCAATTAGAAATAATTATGATGGGAGTTAAAAGATACATTGTAGTCATTAATCATCACCTGGCGTAAGGTTCACATTTTATGATTTGCATATAAGAAGACCCCTAGTTTTGGGGGACTATTTTTAAGCTTAAAAGGTTATTGTATACAACTGGTAGCTCTCCTGCCTGTATTCGTGGATTTCTTCAGTCCCTCCACAAAAATGCAAAATAGTACCACACATAAGGCTTTCATTCACATCCTTAAATAGGGTATCAGGCACTGACTGTTGTGAAATAAACCAAGAAGTAACACAAACACAAGTTTGATGTAATACCACCTTAGTGAAGAACACAAAATCAGCATAATTAAAACAACAAGGTATCCTTCAACGATGAGAAGGTCAGACAAGTCACTGGAAGAACTAGTCCACTTTGACCACTCTACCATTCATTAAGGGACAAACTGAATTTGAGGGTACCCCAGTCACAGTAACAGTTGTCTGAAAATCAGGATAATATTTATAGTTTGCATCATACACTCAGGCAACCTTTGCCTCCCCATCGTTGGAGCACAGTTTTTACATAAAATGTTTACCTCACAGGAAACAGCAATTAAAATGTATGTGTTGATTAAAATACAAGATTACTTTCAGCAAATACATCTGGAATGGCTTCTTGCAAAATCTGCAGTAGAACCAACTAAACGATTCTCTGTGTACTTTTGATCCCTTATTTTATTATTTACATTTACATAATGAATATATTACCTTGGCAGATTTTTTTTTAAATGGTGTTTTTTCTTAGCCTCTGGCCATGGAAACTTCAGCTGACTGTATAAAATATTGCCCAAACATTTAATTCATCAGTTAAGGGTGAAGGCTGAAACCTCTGATCATCCTGACTGTTCCAGTTGTTTTCTCTCCACTTTAACTAACTCTTCCCTTTCTTGAATCTCTGTCGAGCTTGAGCTTTGGTGTATGATCGATGGACTCTTTCTTCTTTACCAGTACTGTCTGTTTCAACAGCCTGAGGTTCCTTCTCATCATCTGGGAAAAAATAAAAATAACATTAAATTAAAAACTAAATTCGTATGTTGCATCCTGTTGTGTATTTTGATTAGTTCAAATCCATTTATACAGTTTACACAACACTAATTTAATGATGGTACCTGCCAGTACCAACGGCCCAAGGAGACTACTTCTAGTCATCTCCATACTTTTGCCACAACAATCCCTCAACAGGGTTCATATATACATAGAACGTTCACAGTTAATATGATCAACAAATTACTGCTGTATTGACTGTAGAAATTAATTTGAAGTAAAATCCATGGAGAAAACTTTTTTTTTAATTTGCTTAGTGGGGGGTGCAGTCCAAATGGGTCCACTTGGCATAGTACTCGGAGAAAACCCGCCCCAGCACCACTCTGTCACCACAAATCCCGCTTGACCAGACCCGGGATCAAACCCGGGCCGCCACAGTGGGAAGCCAGCGACTAACCGCTTGAGCTATGGCTCGGTATGGAGCAAACTTTCTTGTAATGCTAACTTCACTTATTTCAGTTCCCAAGATAACAAGATCTCGACATTGTTCTTCAGCAGTGAGCATTACTGGATCTCATTTTGGAGGCCCTGGGTTGATATCTGAGACTGGAGGAAACAAACAAATTCAGGGATAGCATCTTAAAATAGGTCATGGTTACTCTCATGCAACACGATGTACACATATTTTGTAAGGGCATATTTTTTTTAATTTTCAACCCTCACTGGCGCTGATTATTAATGCTGAAATGATAGTGCAGATATCACAGTATATTAGGAATTATTTTTCTTTATACTTCTTCAAATAATCTCCATGTTAGAAAGTGCAAAATGGACACATACAACATCCCCATTATGCATTCATTTATAATCTTGGTGCATAACAAAATGTATGAAATATAAAATATAAAAGATAACTTCATCAACATTTCTCAATACTACTAAAAGTATCTTCGTAAAGAAGAAACGCATAATGGCAATAAAGGTAACATAACACATGGCGAAGAGTGAAAAAATAAAAGAGCCCAAAGACATAAAAATATCTTGAGTGTGTAGGGTGCAATGTAGAGGTCAGAATGGAAGGAAGTGCTTACAATCAAACAATTTGGAAATTCAAAGCTATGGCAGATGCATGGCAGTGAAAATTATAAGAAGACTGGACAACACTTTAGGCAACACAAAGAAATGTGAGACAATTGTTTGTAACAGAAAGTATTTTCACCACAAATATATAATGTATTCTACTAAATAAGTCATTTCAAGAATAAACCAGAAAAACTAATAAAGTAATGTATTTATGACCTTGAAGTAAATCCACTGGGGGCTCGAGAAGCGCTTCTCTTTGGCACTTGACATAGTAGCGGATCCCTCGTGCAATTCCATAACCAATCATGGCTACAGCAATGGTGAGAAGTGCCATCAGAACAGGATGCTGTAACATATGAGGAAATATTCTGATTTGATAACTGACAAATCAACTTTAACTTAATGTCTGTAAATTGTATAGAAACATGTTAAAAAAACATGTACAGACCACTGGTTGCAATGCAACATCTAATTTATTTATGTTTCAATTCAGTATGGGAGTTTGGATAGCTCAGTCAGTAGAGTGATGGGCTATTGGCTGGATGGCCCAGGTTTGATTCCCGGAAGTGTAAGATTTTTCTCTTCACCACAGCACTCAGACCGGCCCTGGGACCCACGCAGCTTCCTATCGAATGGGTACTGGCAGCTTTTTCCCTGGGGGTAAGATGGCAAGGGCATGAAGCTGACCATTCCATTCCACTTAGTGTTGAGGTAATAAATGGTGGAGCTATACTTTCACTCCCCCATACATTTTCATGGCATAATGCTTAACTGAAACTTAACCTTACAGTGTAGTCTGTATAGCTACTGGCTATGGGCTGGACGACCGAGGGGTTGGAGTTTGAGTCCTGGTAGGGTCAAGAATTTTCTCTTCTCCAGACTGGCTCTGGGGTCCACTCAGCCTCCTATCCAATGGGTACTGGGGGCCTTTTTCCCAGGGGTAAAGTGGCCGGAGAATGAAGCCGACCACTCACCTCCAAATAGTGCCAAGGTCAATAAAATCTGGATCTGTATGTCCACTCCCCCATATGCCTTCCTGACGCACTTCTCAATTAGTTAAGCAGAGGGATAACTTTACCTTATGTTTTTAGTATTGAATGGCAAAGGACGGGGGAATGAAGCAATCATGACGTACATGAGGTATTACAGTGGCATTTACCTGGAAGGCCCAGAAAACTACAAAAAGCTTTACTCAGGAGAGTCAGAGTTCTGGATAAGATTTGAACCAGGACTTTCTGAAAACAAGCCAGAAGTTTACTGCTTGAGTCAACTTGCTTGGTTATAAGACCTAGTTCCTTAGAAACATAAAATGCTAACAGCAATCTGACAATCCTCAGAATGGATCTTACATTCACATCTTATGCAATGTCAACAGACTTGGACAAGGGTATGTATGCTTCATTCTTGGAAGTGGGTGTTTCACCCGTTGAAAAGAGATGACAGTAATGAACGAAAGATTATTCTCTGTACACAAAAGTTGCAACATGCATCTTCTGCTGTAAAGGATAAACTTAAAAGAAAAATTCAGTTACAAGTACACTGTGTGTCACAGTGGATTCAGGTAATTGTGGAGTATCTGAAAATGTGAAACTGATCCAACTTCGTAAAGAATAAGAAACTCCTCCAAAATGTGAAATTAAAACTTCAATGAACTAACTTCATTTCACCGAAACGCTGCAGCTACTCAACAGAGAAGGTCATTGCTGGGTTTGATGTGTCTCAATGTGATGAGAAAAGAGAGAGCTTTACAGAAAGTGCTCGGCATTCTTTCTGAAGCTGATAATAAGAAGCTGACCTTTGTTTGATGGTATTATACACGGTCATTCAATTTATGAGGAAGATAAGTACAGGTGCTTGCATTGTGGCAAGAAGTTGGTGAAACAGCTGTGAAACAGCGACTTGAAGAAACCACATGCTAAGTGAACATGGGCAAAAAATATTAGTAATGTCTAGTCTTCAGAAACTGAATGCATCATTTATGGGAAACACAAAATTCTTTCAATCAATTTTCCATAATTTCAGAACTGCATCCAAAACTCTGGACCCTTGTAGGTGCAAGTGGAGTCCGTACAGTATGTGTCTATGTGCTTCATCAGAAAATAATACTCATAGTACAAAGAGCACAATTTACAGTTGATTTCAATGCAAAGAAACCTTCCTGAAAAAAAAATGGTATGCTTGACAGAAAGTGAAACATGTGCTTTAATGTTATGTGCAAGCTGCCCTGGGTCTGAAGCAGTCCGCAAGATACTCTTTACAATTGTAAATTTTGAATTTCCAAATAAAATCGCATACAGACAGTGGGTGAAGACACATGAATCCACTTCAATGACTGTTGTTGTCCCATGTAAGAAATATATGGATGATATGAAATGACAAGATTTGGATGAGCTTTTGTCTTCATATTTTTGTAAGTTGCACATGAGACTGCAGTTCTAGCTAAGTACAAAGAAAGTTTATGTGAACATGAATGTGCTGCATTAGCAGTTTTTGTAGAAAATTACTTTCTTGGTTCAGGGTGTAGTGCAATGGGATCACTGGTCCAATGACCAAGTGACACTTCATCCTATTGTAATACATGTTTCATCCGAAACCTTTATCTAAACCAAAGCCTGTTTCCTTGTGTATTGTCAGTAACACATGTAACAACCACACTTCATGCTCTTCAGAAGGCTATGAGTCAGTATACCAGACACTGGATAGCAATATGAAAAAAATATTGTATTTCAGTTATGGAGCTGCATCACAGATTTTTTTAAATTTAGCAAGTAAAAAAAACTATTCTACAACTGCTACAGAATGGCATTTCTTAAACACCAGTTATGGCAAAAGGTCCTTGTGACCCTGCAGATGGTACAGAAAAAATGGCAGTCACCATAAGCAAGTTTTCAATGCCCTTATGATCAGCAAATACCAACACCAAAAGGCTTCTATTTATTTTCACAAAAAAAGTACTCATGGAATAAAACATTGTTATGTGAGTCAGGCAGACCTACAGAAACTGATACACAGCTAAAGAAATGGCTCAGTAATTTTATGCAGATACCTAATGCTACCTGCTACCTAACACTAAACCGCAACACAACAAAGGGTTTTCAAGTTTCTAATTAAGTACATTCTTTCACATGTGTCTCACAGGGGTATTCAGGACCTACTCACATTGCATACAGTGACACTGTGATGTGATGGAAGAAGTGATAAGACAAGTGACTGCCTTGTCAAATTCATGAATCCTAAAGGTTAATTGTGACCTGTCCATTGGTCACAGAAGGACAACATTTGCTGGGTTGAAACATAAAGTACAGTGAAAACAGGTACAGGACATCAGTTCATCCTCATGAAAAGACATAGAAGAGCACAACTGAAGTTCTCCAAAAAGAAACAGATGGTCAGTGGTGGGGGGGGGGGGGCAAAACTATCCCTGTAGCAGGCTGTAGAGGCCCATTGGGTTGTGAAATGTTGAGGCTCCCACACCTTCCAAGACAATCGGCTCAAAAAGGTCCCTTTGACTGTCAGCCTTACATGCCAGCCACCGTAGCCCCAGGAAGATTCCTGGTACACATTTCTGTTAGAAGCTAAGTCAATGCCAGGGCCATAGTGCGGCTGGAAGGAGGAGGTCAACTGAAGAATCAAGTACATTCATATGCATGATATGAAAAGACAGTCTAAACTGAAGCCATTATTGTTAATTTTATGCTGTAATAATGTGAAACATGACCAAATGACCACAACTGTAGTGATAATTCAGTTAGGGAATGAAAGAACAAGTTGTAATTTACATTGTCTGTAGGGAGAACAGGGACTACTGTCTCCTCAAATTTTTTGTTGGTTGCCCTTTACCCAACAAATATTATGTGAATACAAGTTGCAGGATTCCTTTTTAGGAGTATACTTTTTCACCCTTTGAAAATATAAAGTTATGACAAAGTTTTACATGTCATTTTATAACTTTTTATATGAGTTCCAAATGAATTAAGTTTCATCCAGATACCTCCATTAGTGTCAGAGACACAATATTTTGTATCATTTAATACCTCCATGCCTGATGTGAAAACACCTATCATAACATAAACTTTGGCACCCTCTGCCTTCAAAACCAATAAGTTATAAGTCAAATTTTATATTTTTTTTGTCATAAGAACTACAACTATACCAAGTTACATTCAAATAAATAATTCAGCTTCCACAGACTTTTGAAGACATTAGTTGATTTGGAATGAAATATCTAAATTTTTAGATGCACTTACAACTAACGTTGGTTTATGAGTGAGAATATGGTCTGCTGCCACAATTATAACACCCATGATGATGCCAACACCAGCTCCAAGCCATGGAATTTGATCATCAGCTGAAACAATATATTTTAATTTTGTTTTAAATATGGGTTGCCCCAGTATGGGAAGGGATTTTCTTTTCTTCATAGAGTCCAGATCAGTTTTGGGGCCACCCAGCCTCTTATCCAGTGGGTACCAGGGGCTCTCTCCCCACGAGTAAAGCAACCAGAGCGTGAATCTGACCACACACCTCCAACTAGTGCCAAGGTCAAGAAAACGTGGGTCTATACATCCACTCCCCCATACATGTTCATGGCACAGTGTTTAATTAGTTAAGCACAGGAACAGCTTTATCTTTACCTTTACACATGGGTTGAAACTTGTCTAAACAACAAATGCCTTGAATAAAATTAATGGAACTTAAGAATACAGCCTTCTGGATTGTAATTCTGTGTAGTATGGAAAAAAGCCTAACATTCTGGGGGAACATATCACCTTCATCTTCAAGGTGAAAGAACCAAGAAACAGTCTGCATGAGCCTCATTCTTGCTGATTTCTTGCTTGGCTTACTCTCTGACCCTAAAAATGGAGGAAATATATTCCTCCAAAATGTCAGGCTCTTTCCAAACTACACAGTGTTACAATCCATCAGACTGCTCTTCACAGTCACTGATGTAAGTACCTTAAATCCAACTTAATGGAACTAGATCACATGAGCTGTGCACTTATATTTTGCCTAAACTTGACCTGAGATAATTGCAGTTTCATTCAATAACACAACAAACATTTAATTATACTAATTATATTAGTTAATTCTTATCTGTTGTTTATTTAACATCATCATCAATAGCTCAGACTGTATAGCATCAAATGCTGGGATTCATGCATAATGAATTGGGAAGGTTTTGGAAGGAAGAAACTGTGGCCTAATCTAAGTTACTATCCCGGCATTTGTATGAAGGGACCAAAAAAAAATTCCACAAAAACCTCAATCAGGTCAGCCAGTGTTCCCCCAGTCAAGATTTGAACCAGTCACCTCCTGAATACAGGTCACAAGTGAGTCGATTTGCTCTGAGTGTACATTAACTGAAGTTTAATCATGCTATTGAGTTCTAATCTTAGATCTTTTAAAACATTTCAAAACAGTTGGTAAGTGGGCTGTTAAATGATGAGCCCAGAGGACACTTCTCTTCAAATCTGATGAAGGGATGACTCTGTCAGATGAACTGGAAAGGCTGGTAAGGACAATGCAATATTTTGAGTTACTATCCCAGCATTTACACGACTGAGGACTGTGAGAAACATGTAAAACCTCAACCAGGACAGCTAGGGTTCTGGCCCAGATTCAATCAAGGAACATCCAAAATACTGAGTTTATGCATTACTTCTGTGCCAACCTGTTCACCAGAAATTCGAAACTCATCTTCTTTAAACACGATTACAAACGTTTTTCCTTTCTGTAGCCTCTGGGAATACAAAAGTGTCTGCCACAAAATCCTGTCTTAAACTCATTAGTGTCAAGCCACTGTCTTTAACTGTGCTGGAAATGCCAATAATTATTTTCAATTTACAGCAGTAGAGGAAAAAGGGTTTTCTCCCTCAGTTTGTATGTTATTTACTCGAAACTTTGAATAAACATTAAGAAAACACATCTCTCTCTAAAAATGCATAAAATGGCAATGAACTGAAATGTTATTAATAAGGGGGGAAAAATGATCTGCATGGTTAACATATGAAACACTCAAAAAGTAAAATTTGAAAGTAAAAATATAAATAAGTAACTAAGTAAGTAAAGGTATCCTTGTAACATAACGTGGAGGCCCATAGGGTTCTGAGATGTTGATGTTCCCACACTATCTAGACAATCGGTTCATAGATGGCAGTAAGGTTGTCAGCCTTACGCGCCGGCCGCCCTTCACCGCCAAGAACATTCCAAGATTATTCCCGGTACTCATCTCTGTTAGAGGCTGAGTCGACCCCAGGGTCATAGTGTGGCTGGAAGGATTAGGTCAATTGAGAAGAATTCAATGACCTCATCAGGGCTTGAACCCACGACTTTCCGGGTTGTAGCATAGTGCTTCAACCAACCACGCTACCGCGTGCCCCAGTAAAAATATAAATATAATTTAAAATTTAATCATCAACTCATGTTATTCCTTTGTTTAAACTTCATAATGTTTAGTCACACAAAAGTTCTGAGAAGTCTGACAGTTTCAGAGAGAGGGAGAGAGTGAGAGAGAAAAAAATATATATACAGTCAATCACTTAACATTATCACTGCTATAAAAAGGATGTTGGACTGAGGCTGTCAAGTATATACTTGTATAATCCAGTGACAATTACAAAAGGATATTTTTGTAGAGAAATTCTGGTTTCAAAAGGTTAAATCTTTTTGGTATACACTTTACACATGAGAAATACACACTGTAATTAAAGAAACCCACACTTTCTTTAAAAATGTTTTGTAACTGTGAACAGTTACTTTATGCTATGAGTTGTCAAGATATATAACAATGCACAAATAAAAGACTATTCTACCAGAAAATAAGAAATTCCATGAGTCACTATATATACTTTAATAATTCAGACCAACAGAATGACAACTACTACTAATACAGCCATTTCTGTACTGGCGAAAATATTTAAATATTACCTTTTCTATCTTTCTGCCTCTCCAGGGATGTCTTCGCAATGGCTTCTAAAATACTTGGGTCATTGGGCTGTAGTTTTAAAGCAAGACTGTAAGATATCAAGGCATCTGTGAAATGGAAAGTAGAAAATTCTACCTCAGCCTTCCGAAAATAGCCCTGTAAAAATTATGTTATCAGTAACTTAATTCTTGCCCACATATTCCAAGCAACCTAAATTGTGTATCTTCCAACCAACAGAAATAGATGTTGCTACCTTAGCCCAGTCTGGCTTCAGCCTTATTGTTTCTTTGGCATCTTCCATTGCAAAGTAGAATTGTTGCATTTTGAGGAATGCAAGTGACCTATTGCTATACAAGGAATAGTTCAATGGATCTAATTTAATAGCATGGGTGTAATGGAATATTGATTCAGCATATTTCTTATTCCGTACACATTCATTTCCCTTCTCTTTGAGCTCTTGAATCTGCAAAAAAATGTAGAAACACTTATTACTTTCAGAACAGATGCAATTTGGGACTATATTTACAATGATTTGCAAAGAAAGGACTTATGTGGCATGTTGTGAACTTCCCTGGTAAATATACACCATCACCGACATACAAATATTCTCTCAAGAAACCCTTACAATCTTCCACATACGTGAATTTTCATTAACTGCACAAATACCGAATAACTTTAACAAGTTTCACCTTACCCTGTAATTAAATACGTTCTGTTCTTTGGCATTAATATCAGTAAAGGCTATATATCTCGCTGAGAATAAAGTATTAATCAGTATAATGACAAGTTTTTAGAAAGTAAAATTATTTTGGCAGAACACAGGGTTATGTCACTTTACGACTAACACACTTTACCTCTTCAACTGAAGCCATACTTTCCAATACAGTTCATCCGAAATCGCAAAACAATAGTTCTACTGTTCCGTGTATCGTTTTACCTAAATAACAATTTCTAGACATTTACTTTACACTTCACCTACATAAAACACCAATTTCCACACTCTCTCCGTTGATCCCATTCAACAGTCTAGCTAGATCACAGACAACTATCAAATCATAGATTAGTAAAACGCACATTTTCAAGTCGCGAATTAATTAAGGTTTGGCAGCACTTCTTATGTTCTAGTACAGACGGATTAGTAAGTAACGTAGCATGAGGGGTGTAAGTTAATGCCGCTCCGAGTACTGCGGTTTCCGTTGCCAATTTTCATTCCGCCAATTGCTCCACAATCACCCTCACCTATCATCTGGGGCTGGTACATTAGGCCAGAAGCGGCCCCCTCCTAGTTTACAAGACAATACTGAAGCCTATTTGGACTTACGGCGCACCACCATGGGGAACTGCAAGTGAATCCAATATAGAAATGTTACAGAGGTTCCAAAACAAAGTACTTCGCGCTATAGTCAATGCACCGTGGTACGTCCCTAACAGACTAATACACGCCGATCTAGGCATATTCACAGTACGAGAAGAAACCACAAACATCAGCCGCAAATACAAACACAAGATAATGGCACATCCAAATGAACTGGCAACCACACTACTAAACGAGGCAGACGAGCCCAGAAGACTGAAAAGGCATAAACCAAACTACCTAACGACACGCTTCATATAAGTGCAACACACAAAATAACGACACACCCGAAATAGATCCGTAGAGAATGCTCACTGGAGCATTACTCTCCCTGACATGTTTTCTCTTAGTATTTAAGCTTTAGATTAAGTCTCACATAAGATGTACTTATAGCCCACAATGGGCTGATTGTACAAATATGTGGAGATACAAAAAAAAAAAGAAAAAAAAAAAAAGAAGTGGCCCACTAACAATAATAATAATAAAAAAAGTTAATGCCGCCGTCCTGTTGGTTGGCCATATTCGGTATAAGTATGGCGATTTCGAATGATTATATAGCCGAAATGTCCCGGTTTGAAGGTATACTCGGTATTGGTGCACGTGAAGGTTTGAAATGGAGACTTTCTTACTTCACAGTCGATTTGTAAACGAACGTTGAAGGCTGATCTTCCACTAGAGCTGATGATTCCGTGCACCAAACTTAACAAACTCAGCTACACTTGATGCTCTCGCATACTGAAGCAACGGATTGAGTGACTGGAAAGAAACGTGGAATAGAAGAAAATCACCTGACTATTGCAACTGAGGTTCAAAGGAAACCGACTCGTTCGATCGCACGAAACCCTGGTTGCGATGGTTGCTGCAACAAAAGTTACAGTCTTGTTAAGGGTGAGGTCTTGTGAAAAGGGATGGGGCACGAACAAAAATTTCTGTGTTGCATGTGACCATTTTGAAGCACGCAATTGCACCAATGGAAGAGCAGCGTGATACAACCAACTTTGCGGAGCCGAGCCTTTCTTGAAAAAACACCAGTTGCTCCTCTTATGAATATTACAATATTTTATGGAATCTGAAGGTTCATTACCATGTTTGCAAGAGCCAGCAACTGGTCCACATCCTAAGCCAGATTAATGCAGTCAGTGACACCCCATCCTACTTCTTTAAAGTCATTTTTGATACTATTTTCCCACCTATGTCTAGGTTTTACTAATGGTTCTTTCTTTCTTTCTGACTTTCCCACCAAAATCCTATATGCATTTCTTTTCTTCCCATATATGCTACATGCCTTGCCCATCATACACTCCTTAACTTCATCACGTTAATTGTACTTGTACTTGCTAAAGAATACAAGTTCTCACTTCTCAGTATTCTCCATCCTAATATCATCATCATTTTATCCCACTTTAGTTCAAATACAAGTATTCTCCTCAGCACCCTGTTCTCAAACACTTTCAGTCTGTGTTCCTCCTTCAATGTTAGAGATGAGGTTTCACACCCATATAAAACCAGAGTAAAATTATAGTTATGTATATTCTAATTTTTACTTTTTTTAGGCAGCAGGAGAAAAAACAATAGGTTCTGAGGTGAAAGGTAGTAATCATTACCTGAATTCAGTCTGCTTTTAATTTCCTCATAAATCAAATTTTGAGTTATTACTGTCATTCCCAAATATCTGAACTTTGCCACATTTTAGAAGGATTTCCTGGACCTTCCCAATGGCATATTCTAAAGCAAAGTTGAAAAGGTATTGATGATAATGCATCTCCTTGTTTTAGACTTTTCTGAATAGGAACCAGACAATTGTTTACTTATACAAACTTTACTATAGGTTACATTTGAACATAATCAGCATAACTAGTTTCATGAGTACCCCAAACTCAGTGACAGTGTTGTACAATACTTCCCTCCTAACTGAAACATAGGCTTTCTTGTAGTCTATTAATAGCTGATGTGCTGTCTCATTGAATTCCGTTTTTTCCTTCGGTAGCTGACAAATACAAAATCTAATCAGTATTTGATCTCTTATGTCAAAACCCAGATTGATGATATTTATGTATAGACTTAATCTTGACAGAGGGCGCGCCATAGCTCAAGCGGTTAGTTGCTGGATTCCCACTGCGGTGGCCCGGGTCTGGTCAAGTAGGATTTGTGGTGGACAGAGTGGCACTGCGGCAGGTTTTCTCCAAGTACTTCAGTTTTGCTTGCCAATCTTCATTCCAACAATTGCTCCACAATCACCCTCACCTATCATCTGGGGCTGGTACAATAGGCCAGAAGTGGCCACAGTACAAGGGACTTAGTCCCACCCCACTAGCAATAAAAAAAATAATCTTGACAGAAGGATATTGAATAAAATTTTAAAAGAAGCTGATAACAGCGGTATGCCTCAATAATTACTACAGCCAGTTTTGCAATTCCAAATAGAATTAATGAGTTTATGGAGAGCAGGGTGTAATATTTCACCTACTGTTTCAATCACTTCTACCAGAATTTGATCATACCTTCAAGACTCTGCAACATTAACTTTACCTCAAGAACTAGGCTCAAACATATGCATTGCCATCTGCCTCATACCACTAATCCTATGTACATTTGGTAGCTGAGAGAATTCTCCCAAATATTCAAAAGTTGTGGAAATCTGCAAGAGCACATTCTCATACTTTACCATGTTACTTCTAGGTTGGTAACCCTTTTTAAATTTATTTATACCTCTATATAGGTCTTCTAAAAGAAGTTATTGAAGGAAAGATAGAGGGGTGGATAGATGTGACCAGAAGACGAGGAAGAAGATGTAAGAAGATGCTGGATGACCTTGGGGACAGAAGAGGATATTTTCATTTGAAGGAGAAAGCTCTAGATCGCATCAAGTGGAGGAACTGTTTTGGAAGAGACTGTGGACCTGTCGTCTTGACAGATTACTGATGAATGAATATAGGTCTCTAATATTTTTGTTCTTACTAGTTATTATTGTCATACTTTGACACTTCAAAATCACTGTTAATCAAATTTTATTTCCTGATAATTTGAAGTGCATTGCATGGCCATGCCATAGTTCAGGCAGTTAGTTGCCGGCTTCCTACTGTGGCAGGCTGGGCTTGACCCCAGATCATGGTATTTGTGGTGAACAAAGTGGTACTTCTGCGGGTTTTCCCCAATAACTCTGTTTTCTCCTGCCGATTATCATTCTACCAACTATTCCATATTTATTAATCATCCTGTTACCGGTGCTATAGTCTCAATATGGACAATGTTGTTAATTTATGTAACAAGCATTATAAAAAAATTAAAAATTAATAAACAATGTGAATGTAACTTACAGCATCTCCTTGCTTTGCCGATAACATATGTTATGTTCTTTCATGTTCTTTGATGATTTTTAACGAGCAAAATTATGGACGTTGTCAGATGATAAGCTATGAGACTTATAATTTTCTGTGAACATAGTTCTTAATACTGAGAACCCTTCTTTTGGCATTGATGTCCGCAGCTCATTCTTGATCTTTTTCAGTCTCAACAATGACTGTTTCCTTGAGCAGCTTCCTACCATTAGATTAAATAACAGCAGCATTACTTCTTTATTAGGGAAAGCCAATGGAATCTTATCTTGGTAAGTAATCTGATACAGATTCTGGACATTCTTCATTTAGCCAAGGAAGTTTTCTGGTTTTCTCAGTGAGGATGATACGAATACCGCAAGTCTTTCAGTATGAAGTTTATACCTTCACACAGCTGTTCTTTTGAGGTTCCTAAATCAATGTGGTGGGGGAGGGGGGAGGCATATTTTGGCATCTGCTATTGGAATAGAGGATTTTGCTCGGAATTTGTCTCTTTGGGGGAGTCTCTCATCAGCAATGGGTGCATTGCCATCAATAACTTGCTTGTTTTCAACTCTTTTCTTTTGAGTTTCATGAAAACTTTCTCTGATTTGAACAGTATGGTCTTCTGGGTTCTAATTAATTCATTCCTTCATTGTATATTCCATAAATCCATATACATAGATATAGAACCAGTCACATAGTTAATATAGTACAATACAATTATAAATATATATGTACAGCTTATAA